TCTCTCTCTCTCTCTCTCTCTCTCTCTCTCTCTCTCTTCCTCTTTTCACTCCTCTCTTCTCCCCTTCCACTAACCTTCTGCTCATTCGGTGCCCTCCACCATCCTCCGGTCCCTCTTTCCTGTTACGACCCCCCTCCTAGGACCCCGCTCTTTCTACCTTCCCACGTTTGTAGCTAGCAGAAATCGACTAGCCCTTACTCCCTACTCTATCTTGTCCGCCTTATCCACTGCATATTAATACACTTACGGATTTTGTTTCACCACCTTCCATTCTGAGTGTCCACATACAGTAACCAACCTTTCCAATCAATCTTGGTCAAGCAAGAGCGCAAAGAATAGTGGGAATCGCAATCAATTACAAATCAATCAAAGTGGCTTCTTCGGTTATCTCATCGTCATCCACTCTGGCGGCCCATGATAGCACCGGGGCCACCGCCGGTACGAAGCGAAAGAGGACGGGGGAGATGAAGTACTATGCTGTGAGGGCCGGTTTTCATCCGGGGGTGTACACCGCATGGCCGGATTGCCTGTCACAGATCACAGGGTTCAAAGGAGCAAAGTGTAAGTGGATTCTATGAAGCCCAGAGTGCGATGCCTTAAAAGTGTTTACAATTTCTGACCGTTTTTTCCCTTTCCAATAGTCAAATCGTTCCCTACCGAAGAGGAGGCACAGCTTTTCCTCAGCGGAGTCGATCCTACACTTGATCCGAATTCCGCTTCTTACACTGCAAAGTACTACGGTGTTCGAAGTGGCAAGAATCCCGGAGTATATACGGACTGGGCAACTGCGGAGCAGCAGGTGGTTGGTGTGCAGAAGCCGAAGGTGAGATGTTTTGCTACTCGTGAGGAAGCAGAGGCGTTCGTCAATGGTGGTGGATCGGGAGGGGTGTCACCTGTGAGCGTCGATGACAGGAAGAGGCCCGTTCGAGTGGGGGTTGGGGATATCGCTGCCCCTAGCAAGGCGTCGGTGTATGGCAGGGAGGGCTCGTCGGAATTGGAGGACAGAGTGCCGGTGCCGAAAAAGCGGAAGAGCGTAGGAAATAATTTGAACCAGGAGGAGGCCGAACTCAAAATGGCGCTTCTTTGTGCCCCCCCAATGCTCGAGGAGACTGTTCCCCAGGAGATGCATCCTGATGAGGATGCTGTCCTGCGTAGTTTGAATAGACACTTGCGGGGCGAGGGCGACGAGACTAGTGATGAGGATAGCTCTGACTCCGGCGCCACTCTGGTCAACAACGAAGAAGTCAAGCCCAAGCCACGGGTCATTGCCAAGAAGAGCTCCATTCTGCGGATATACACCGATGGTAGCGCCCTCCACAACGGAAAACCCTCTGCAATCGCTGGCGTTGGCGTCTGGTTTGGCGACAAAGACTCCAGGTACCCGGAATCCCCCCATCCACCCACACTCTACCCCACCCCCCCCCCCCCCGCCTATCCCTCTACTTACTAACGTCCCCAGCAGAAATATCTCTGAGCCCCTCCCCGGCCCCCGCCAAACAAACTCTCGTGCAGAGCTAACCGCGATCCTCCGCGCTATAAATGTCGCCCCCAAGCACCGTGAGGTGGCCATATACACTGACTCAGAGTACGCAATCAACTGCGTGACTGTCTGGCACATTAATTGGAGCAAGAACAACTGGATTACGAGCGTTGGTCGGCCAGTCGAGAATCAGGATCTCATCGTACAGATCCTGGAACGACTTAGGGAGCGTGAGAGTTATGGGAGCAAGACCCACTTTGAATGGGTGCGTGGTCACACGGGCCAGAATGATGGGAATTCCCAGGCGGATAGACTTGCAGTTCAAGGAGCGAGGATTGCGGAGGCGCTGATTAATCGTAGGTATTAATCGGGGACCCTTTCCCTTTCTATATCACTTACACACCTTTCCCTATTTTTTTTTTTGCTGGTATTCGATTCTTAACTTTGTGGCTACGTCCTTGTGGTCCTTTCTTAACTCCCCCCTTTCTTGCATCACTTATTTTATTTTATTTTCATTTTTCATTTTTTGTCATTGGGAGGTATCTTGCTTTTGTCTTGCCTTGCTTGTGTATTTGTTTGCGGTCTCGGATTTTGGGGGCAAAAAAAAAAGGGAAAATGGATGGGGATTTTTGATTTTGATCCTTCTTATAGCTGGTTACGTCTGCGTTTCATTTGGCTCTCTTGCGTCTTGCCATGTGCACTTTTTCTGCTCTCGATATGGTGCGGTGTGGTTAGGATTTTTTTTTATATATATATATACTTCGCTTTGTTTTATACTTAACTTGGAACTGGGAGAAAACAAAATGGGTGGCTGTTTGTGCTTTTTTTTCCCTGCCTTTTGTCTGTTCTGTTTTATAGTCTTATTTTCATGTCTTGTTTTGTCACTCACCTTGCACTTACGGCACCGGTACTTCACCTGTGCATGTTGAGGCCTGTCTACTAACTCCTACCAATTCCTATATACCCTCTTTTTTTTGTTTTCAATTAAGTCCGCTGGAGTGTACTCTACTGTGCGTACGTACCTAGGGAGGGGTTTTTTTCTTACACATTTCCACATTTTTCACCCCCTTTAGGTTTTTCTTTTGTAAGGGGCCGGCTTCATCGTAGGTTGATCTCATCCCTTTTTATTTCGACAATGACAGGGGCTATTCTGATTATTTAACCGCGTATTTTCTTTTGTGGTTTACGGGCTAGCTAGCTGGCTGCTTGAGGTAGTATTGGAGACTGGGAGGTAGGATTGGTTTGGATTGAGTTGTGGAGTATTGTTAGATTGGGTGGGGATTGGGCGGACGTTTGCGCTTTTGCTGTTTTTGTCTTTGTTTTCGTTGGTTGGTGGATAAGTAAGTGATTTAGTCCTGGCAAATAGTCGGTGTGCTCGAAGGGAGGCAAAGGAGGGGGGGGGTCGAGGCTGGGGAATTGAAGTTGTCAAGTGAATGAATGAAGGGATAAATGGGCCTGTGAACGTGAAATTTAAAACGGGAGCTTAAAATTGGGGGAATGAGAGTGGAAATGATTTGTATGTGGGTTTTGGGAGGGCGATATGGTGCAGGCACTCGTAACGGGGCGGGCGGTATGGTTGGTTCCATAAAGTCAACCTGAGCTCGACGCGCAGCAGGGGCCCGGAAAGTGTAGGTGGGGTACAGTACAGTAGTGCTCGAGTATTGTAGGTATTCTGGGCATAAATTTGGAGTCGGACTGGATAACAGAATTATATTGTCTGCTTGGAGACCAAGAATTTTTCCCGTTTGGATACCAGAGGAGCGAAACAGGGGGCGATTGGTTTGCTGCGATCGCCCACGAGTCGTGTGCCGATGGATCAGGAAGTAGCACCAAAACGCGTGACTATAATGTACATGGCCGACTGGTGGTGGTAGTCTAACTTGAATATGTACAGGGGGTGGAAGGAAGCGGTGCAACATGATTGCAGTCACGGGAAAAAGTGGAGTTCACAACAACCGTTCCGCATTGACAACCCCCCATCCGTTTGTGAACCTCCTTCCACAGCCCTTTGATGACTATATACCAAAACTCAAATACAAATTATTTACATGCCCTATGCACCTTCAGTACTTAGTTGATCCACCTCTTGCCTGTCGTAGCTTTTCTATACGCTGTGGCATCTTGTCTATCCACTTATAGATTTGGGACCATGGTAATCCTTCCCATAGATCCTGTGCCAGGGCAATTACCTCGTCTCGGGTATGAGGGCGTTTTGTAAAATCCTGGCAAGCTCTCCGAAATCACCGCTTCCACAGAGACCATAAGTTCTTGATAGGGTTTAGATTGGGTGAGTGGGTAGGCCAGTTAAGCCTTATAATATTCAGTACCTTTCTCCACCGACAGGTTTCTGCTGATGTATGATAACTAGCCCCATCCTCAATAGTCATACAGCCTTCACTGGCTCCTCCTAAATTATCGTATAAGGGTAACATGTTGTTAAGAATCCTACCAAGTAGGACCGAGCGACAGGTAACGATACTTCTCTTGATGTAAGGTGATAGTTCTCAGGCCTGTGCCTAGGCGATCCCGATAGTCTAGTCCTATGACTACTATCTTGTTCGCGCCTATCTCCTTATTCTTCTCCTTAGTCCTTGCTTAGGACTCAATCTCTCCTCGTGGGAGGAAAGACAATTCTTGGGTTTCTTAAGATAAATCTTAAAGAGCGTAAAGGTAGGTTTTATTGATAATAAGTTGAAGGTAGGAAATTAAACAAGAAGAACGTGTGAAGAGCTCATACTCAGGGTCCTAGTAACCCCTTTATATAGTAGCTCTTCACCTGGCATGACTCATACCTCTCGTCATGCGAACCCTGTGACTTATAATCATGAGTCATGCGAAATCCATCAGACGACTCCTATAAGTCACTGCGCAACATGCCTAAAACCAATCAAAACATAATAACCAAGTCAGGTGTGCAACTTGCGCCACCTGAGTGAAACCCATGACTCATAAGTATGAGTCATGTGTGAAAATCATAACATCGTATGACTCACAACTGTGAGTCACGAACAGGTAAACATAATAACCTATGGCACACTAATGTGCATCATGTGAAATCCCAACATACCTATAACTCGGAAGTCCGAGCTATGTGAAATCTGCCTTGCTTAGTTACAGTTTGTGACATTAGCTCAGTCTTCTATTCCCCATCTTCTTCCTTCGGGTAGTGGATAGTACATATTCGCTCCCATGTTCACCCTGACCACCCTGGCCAGAGTTTTCCTTGCTTCCCTTTCTTCTTTTCTCCAGTCGATCTGGAGAGCCTTTCTCATATTTCTTTCTTCTTGCAACTCCTTCGTCAAATTGTCGTTGTTCCACCTCGCCCTTTCCAGCTCCTTCTTGAGCTCCTCTATCTTTTCCGCCTGATATTCCAGCAACCTGCTGGTTTCAACCTTCTCGGCTAACCAGTTCATTTTGACCTCCTTCGAGGTCTCGGGTTCCGTCTCTTCTTCCATCTCTTTTTGCCACGAAACCTGCTTCAGTTTCCTGGGTTTTACCCATTGTCTTTGTTTTTTCACCCCCCTCCTCCTTGATTCTGTCCTCGGAGTCGGTTTGATGTATTGTACCAGATCCACTGGCTCTGGTGTTGGGGATCTCGTTGGTGTTGGTGATCTCGTTGGTGATCCCAGAGGTGAAGTCTTGGGTGGCCATCGGTTCGTCTCCCGAGACCAGTATCGCAAGCCTACTTTCTCGCTTTGGTGCACTTGGCACTCGTCGTCGTAGCAACTTGTCCATGACAGGTTCGCATGTTCCCTTTGGGTAGTGGGAGTCTTGTGTATTGGTAGGTCTTTCAGACTTATCCAGTCCTTGGGGTTGTATTCCATCTCGTTTGTCATCTGTTCTGAGCTTGGGGTGCGGTATCCTGGGCTGGTCGGGGTAATGTATTTGAATGCGTCGCGTTCCGGCGTGTTCTGGAGTGCCGAACTCATCGGCATCGTTTCCAGTTTTATCTAAAGTTGTTGCCAGTGGTAGGTGTCTGTTCTGCATAGTTGCGGGGCCACACATTCGGATTCGGGTACGTCCTCTACTGTTGCTTGATGGCTTGCTGGGGTATCGTTGATGAAATTGGTCGACTGCATTTCACCCGTGATTGAAGTTCTCGGCTGGGTACCAAGTCTTATCGTGTTCTGGAGAGTATCCAGTCCACTTTACTCTGTATTGCAAGCGACTGTAGTGTGATCGAGAGTTGATGATTTCTTCGAGTTCGTATTCTGATTCACCGTCTATTTCGATAGGCGGTGGTGGAGTTTTTCCTTGAGAGGGTAGGGGGTTGTCTTGGTAAAGTTCAAGTAGGCTGATGTGGAAGGTGTTGTGTATTTTCATTGATGGTGGAAGGTCGAGTTTATAAGCGCGGCTTCCTATTTTTGCCAATATCTTGAATGGTCCTATTTTCTTGTAATCCAGTTTTTTCATTGGTCGCTTGGTTCGGATGTTGTGTGGTAGTAACCAAACCATATCTCCTGATTTTAGGTTTGGATCAGGTTTTCTGTGGCGATGGTAGTCTTCCTTCTGTCGTAATTGTGCCGTGACTATTTCGTTTCATAATATATCATGTAGTTGACTCATATCCTTTTTATCCGTTATCTTTCCTTAGAGCATATAACCTATGGTTTGGTATTCTGGATGTGTGCCATAATTTGCAAAGAAAGGAGTCGTCTTGATTGTTTCTTGTTTTCCGTTGTTGTAGGCGAACTCAGCTAGTGGTAGTCAGTCGTACCAATCATCTTGTTGGTAGTTGATGTATGTGCAGAGATATTGTTCCAATATGCTGTTAATCCTTTCCGTTTGCCCATCCATCTGGGGGTGAAAGGCTGTGCTCATTGGTCGTTCGATTCCTAATTTTTCCATTGCTTCCTTTCATACTTCGGAAGTAAATAGTGATCCCCTGTCGCTAATGATGTCTTTGTTAAGAATCCTACCGAGTAGAACCGAGTGACAGGTAACGATACTTCTCTTGATGTAAGATGATAGTTCTTAGGTCTATGCCTACGCGATCCCGATAGTCCAGTCCTATGACTACTATCTTATTCGCGCCTATCTCCTTATTCTTCTTCTGAGTCCTCGCTTAGGACTTAATCTCTTCTCGTGGGAGGAAAGAGAATTCTTGGGTTTCTTAAGATAAATCTTAAAGAGCGTAAAGGTAGGTTTTATTGATAATAACTTAAAGGTAGGAAATAAACAAGAAGAACGTGTGAAGAGCTCATACTCAGGGTCCTAGTGATCCTTTATATAGTAGCTCTTCACCTGGCGTGACTCATACCTCGCGTCATGCGAATCCTGTGACTCATAACCATGAGTCATGTGAAATCCATCAGACGACTAGTATGAGTCGCTGCGCAACATGCCTAAAAACTAATCAAAACATAA